ACACACACACACACACACACACACACACACACACACACACACAGTAAAACTAAAACTAAGTGTTCTCTGTCCATCTCCTCAGGCTGGCAGACTACGATGTTGTGGTGACCACATACGGTTTGGTCTCAAAGGAGATTCCAGTCCAAAAGGAGGCGGGGGAAAAACCATCCAAGGATTCTGACGACGTGGTGAGTTGTTATGATATAAAGTCACGGTTCTGACTGCAGCCGTTCTCAGCTTCAGAGCCATTTTGGTACTGATAATAATAATATAAATAATGATGATGATAAAACTAAATCTTCTGGCACATGTATACTTCATCTTTTGTCATTTTTCTTCAGCCACTGCACTCGTCTCCTCTTCTGCGAGTGGCCTGGGCCCGTGTGGTACTTGATGAAGCCCACAACATCAAAAACCCAAAAGTGCAGACGTCCATGGCGGTTTGTCAGCTGAGAGCCGGCGCCCGCTGGGCAGTCACTGGTACACCCATCCAGAACAACCTGTTGGACATGTACTCGCTGCTTAAGTAAGAAAAGAACACAGACGTTTTCCAATGCTTTCTTAGTCTAAATACTTTGTTGGACATGTGTAGGTCTGTGTGAGACTGGTTTGTTTCGTATTGTTTCATAAACCAGTATTGTTGTTTATTCATTCAATGTCTGTCCCTCAGGTTTCTGCGTTGTTCTCCGTTTGATGAATTCAAACTCTGGAAAGCTCAGGTCGACAACGGCTCTAACAGAGGCAGAGAGAGGCTGAACATCCTGACGAGGAATCTGCTGCTCCGAAGAACCAAAGACCAGATGGACTCCACAGGAAAACCTCTGGTAGACACACACACACACACACACACACACACACACACACACACACAGACACAGACACACTGGACTTTATATACTGTTTCATTGTAAAGGTCACAACATTGTTTTTGTGTTTGAATGTCAGTATCTGATTGTTGCCTGCAGAGCCAAACAGAAATAATCACTATTTGCAGCTGCAGGGGGCGCTATTGCTCTGTAAAAGTTGCATCAAGATAAAATAATCTTTTATTAATCCCACTTTGGGGAAATTGGTTACAGCCGTGAGGGTATATTAAATCAGACAATGTTAAATAATAATAATAATTATGAATAATGTTTCAGGTGTCTCTTCCTGTTCGAACCTGCGAGGTGCATCGACTCAAACTATCTACAGATGAGCAGGCGGTGTATGATGTGGTCTTTGCCCAGTCCAGGTAACACAACAAGTTAATGTCTTATTTTTTAATTCATTATAAAAATGAGCGACACTGCCTCATGATGTTTCTCATTACGGGCATAGAAAAGTGGCTCGATGAAAGCAAAGACTAATCATCGTGCCATCAAGGTTATAGAAGCGACCAAGCCTCTCTTGGCCAGCTGGTAAAATCTGGACAGGAAAATGATTAAACTTTAAACAACTGTGACTTCAGTCTAGTGTGCTAATGACTTCTCCAAGGTCTGAATGTGTGTAACTACATAAAAAATCTCGTTGGATGCTGTGGATGGATCATTAAAAAAATGATAAAATGTTTATTCCTTTCTTCTTCTTTTTTTTTTAGATCCACTCTGCAGAACTACCTGAAGAGACATGAAGGGAATGATGTGAACAAGGGGAACACGCCCACTTCTAATCCCTTTGACAAAGGTGAGAGATCAGCTGAACTGAGTGTCATGAATACTGTCCCCTTTGACGTGTGATGATGAGCTGCTCAGAGCTCGTTTAACATCTTTCCTGAGTGATCGGATCACAACTGTACAGTGCAAAGTTCAGGTTTGAACGCACTTCGCTCTGTCTGTCTGTCTGTCTGTCTGTCTGTCTGTCTGTCGGTCTCTCTCTCTGTCTGTCTGACAACGTATTTGCTTGGTCTCTCTCCTGATCCCAGTAGGATTATTAGAATGAAAAGAGACAATGAATAAAACTCACTGCTGTGGTTTCTTCTCGTGGCAAAGCTTTCATTCTGTTTGAAATCAGCTGACATTTTACAGCATGTAGAATATTTTGTATGGTTAAGTTATATATTACAAATATACACATGAAACTGTATTTCTTAGTATACAAGAGTTTTTACTTATCACTGCATATAATCATACAGAACTAATTATTATATTACTAAAAAAAATAAACAAAGAGAAATGAACATTTTACATTGGAGCTGAAAACACATCTATGAAATGGTGGTGTTTCATAACTAAGTGTGTATGTGGGGCTTCTCCCTCTCTCTCTTTCTCTCTCCAGTTGCCCAAGAGTTTGGCATGTCGCAGCCTGAAGCTGCTGTGCCGAGCTCCCGACAGGCGTCCAGCACCGTCCACATCCTGTCCCTGCTGCTGCGCCTGCGACAGTGCTGCTGTCACCTGTCCCTCCTGAAGAAGGTATACGCTCACTCACTCAAACACACCAGGGTTCCTACAGGATCTTAGAGATCTAATTTGGATTGTGGGACCCCTATCAGCCGAAGTTACATACTGTTACGTTCAAAAGTCTTAAATATATCAAAATATTATGCACTAGGTCTTAAATAGATTTTGGCAGGTCTCAATCATGTTAATGCTCATTTAACAGTGCTTCTGTTGTGCTTTAAAATGTGTTTTGTTCACTTTATCTCTCCTCCCTCTGCTCAGACTCTCGACTCGACGGAGCTGCAGGGTGACGGGATCGTCTTGTCTCTGGAGGAGCAGCTCAACGCTCTGTCACTCTCCTCGAGCCCCTCGCCATCGGGCCCTGACCCCAAAGACACCGTTGCCCTCAATGGCACCCGTTTCCCCTCGCAGCTGTTTGAGGACACCAGTGAGAGCACCAAGGTGGATGACTGCTCTTCAACCTCACATCACTATCACACTGAATGTGATTTATGTGGAAGCTAAAATAATGTTTATTTAAACGCATGTAATGTGTTTTTATTTGCCATGGTGCAAAGCGTCTTATTCTTTTCATTCACTGTTTTTCCCGTATCACTGCTTTTTTATTGAATTATACTGTAAATACAAATTAACTTGTTCTTCATTCTCAATTTTCCAGATTGCTGCTATTGTCTCTGAGCTTGAGGCAATCAGGCAGAAGAGTGCTGATCAGAGAAGGTAGGAACAACTCTCAAGGTCAACACTGACTATGATCAGTCATATCTTTAATCCTTGGGTTCATTGTATACTGCTCATGTCTGTCATTATTTAATCCGACTTCTTTAGTTGTAATCCACGTGGTATCTTCTCCTCTCTTGTCATGTGTAGCGTCATCGTGTCCCAGTGGACTAGTATGCTGAGCATCGTAGCGGTTCATCTGCGGCAGATGGGCTTGAGATACGGCATCATCGACGGGTCCGTCAACCCCAAACGACGCATGGACCTGGTGGAAGAATTCAACACAAACCCTGAGGGACCACAGGTGAATATCAGTCCCACAACTCAACAAGGTTTTTTTTATATTTTCTAATGCTGTTAATGGTAAAGAATCAGTTTAAGATTTTTCATGTTCACTGTCCGTCCATCTGTCATGTATAGAGTCATATTTCTGGTTCTGTTCCACAGGTGATGCTGGTTTCTCTTTGTGCTGGAGGAGTTGGTCTAAACCTGATTGGAGGGAATCACCTCTTCCTCATGGACATGCACTGGTGAGACACACACTGGCACACACACACAAATCCAAAAGAAAAGAGATCTGCTGCTCTGAAACCTCTTCTCGTTGCTTTTCTGACCTTGAATGTGTGATATAAATAACAGAACCTATCCTGAGAGTTATGATGATAAACATGCAGGATGTTGAGTGTTTTACTAGTTTGATACCAAGACCTGGGTGACGGAAAGTCTTTATTGAAACAAAGCTTGTGAAACTACTGATGAGTTAAGAAGTTCTTTAATGTGTTCACTATAGCAATGGTTAAGTTTTTAATCCTGACTACTCTGACAGGAATCCAGCCTTGGAGGATCAGGCCTGTGACCGGATTTATAGGGTCGGACAAAGGAAAGATGTCACCATCCACAGGTAAAGACAAAGAAGCAGTACTTTCACTGGGTGGATCCTATTTTTTTCAGATTTAATGTTGCAAAACAACAGTATTGAAACAATCATGAACTAAGGCAAATGGTAAACAGCACAAAGGTACAGTAAAAGATTTATAAAACAAAGATCAAATCAAACTTTTTAGACAAAAGAGGGAGAACAAATCCACCAACATTTTCTTAAGCTTGTTACCTCAACTGTAAATAAAAAAGGACACAGACTCCACGTTCGGAATGTGAATCCAATGCAAAAGTGCCTGAAGCCTGTAAAAATTCTTGTGTGTGAATTCCTTTTTTGATAGGTTTGTGTGTGAAGCTACGGTGGAGGAGAAGATTTCCACACTGCAGGTGAAGAAGAAGGAGCTGGCCCAGAACGTGCTGTCTGGAACAGGAAGCACCTTTACCAAACTCTCCCTGGCTGATCTCAAAATCATTTTCGGTGTGTGAGATGGGAGAGAACTGAGGAAGCTGTTCCACACTGTCTGACCTGCAGCTACCGCACCAGACTCCTGTTCACATATATCCAAAATTCAGGTTATAAATCGATTTGGGGAAAAAATTGAAATAATCTAATGTTTTATGTCTAATGTTTTGGGTTTAAATTTTTTCTTCATACCATTTCAATTACGTTCTCAGTTAGGAAACAGTGCCTTCTATCAGATGCTACTATGCTGCCGTGGCTGCTTTGGTTTCTTAACACTACAACTGCAAATAATGTTTACATGCAACTTGAAATATGCTTCTTAAATCATACAACTTCAATAGACTACCACAGATGTGCATATTGTCTGTCTCTGTGTGCAACAAGCCATAAAATGAATAGCAACTCTTAGTCTGGAAAGATGCTGTACAGCGCTGTTTCCCCTGCATTTATGTCCCACGCTACATTAAGCTGCTGTTTGTTTTATTATGACTCACTGAAGAGGGGATTCCCCTCAAAGCTAATCTGTGTCACTCGATGGAGTTTAGTTACTTGATGTGTATTTTCATATGGTGTTTTGCTTGGACATTGTGATGTTGTGTAAATGAATTCAGGTCATAGACTATTGTGTGTGTGCGCTCAACAAAGTTATTTGCATTGTGAATTAAAATTATTTATCAATAAAAACATATTTGGGGAAGCATACTTGATTGAATATTCGAAGAGAAGTCAAAAATATTTGATACCCTGAAATCCGAATGTGAGTTTGATAAAAAGACATTCTGAATTAGTGCAAACAGAAAAACGTGCATGAGATAAAACCCTGCATTTAACCTTTGTCCATGTTTAAACGTGCAGCAGTGTTTTCATCAGGTTCCTCCCTGACTTCTTGCTGCTCCACCATCTTTGCTGCGTCCGATCCAGAGGGAAGCTCTGTGCTGCCTTTGAAACACATCGTAATTTTGACTTTCGACGTCTAAAGTAACATAGCATATTTAAAGATGGTGATGACAGAATCTATTTTATTCTTAAACCCACGTATTCCTGTATTTAGAAAAAAGCAAAAGGTTATATAATATTAGTTATGTATTTTGCAATAAGTTTTGGAAAAAGATTTTATTAAATTAATTTATAATTGTCTTATTAGCAAGATAACACAACAAAAAAACGAGATGTTAACTCTTTTTGTTCTTAGTTTTAGAAATACGGTTTTAATATTGTTCAACTTAATCAAAGAAAAGAAAAATTACTACATTTACATTTGTCGTTAAAAATATATTCCAAATGGATTATTTCTTTAACATTTCGTTTAACACAATTATTAACATATAATACTATTATAGTACAAAATGATAATTATAGATAAGTTGCAGACCTTTTTTTTTTTTTTGCAAATGTCCCAAATGTATTATGACAGAAACATTTTGGAAACGGACAACGTGAGATTAAAAAACAATAAAATACCGAGGTTAGGGCTGGTCCCTGAACGCAGCGCTGTGGGAGCGGGCGGTAGCTGCTCGTCTCTCGGGTTCAACCCACCGAGCTGCGGCGCTGCCCGGGTACACTGGCGCCTCGCTGCCCCTTCCTCCGACACGCACCCCGCGGTTTTAGCGGAACAAACCCAGCGCGGTCCCGCAGCCATGGCGGCCGAGGTGAAGGTGGAGCCGGCGGACAGCGAGCAGGACGAGGAGGAGGACGTGTACGAGGTGGAGCGGATCATTGACATGCGGCTGGAGGAGGTAGGAGCTACATGCTAACGGCTAACGGCTATCGTAGCCTCCCGGTCAGTTTGTGCAGACATGGCCGCTGTCACGCTCCAACGCGACATGTCCACACACTGTCCTCCATCATCAAACACGGTTACAACCCGATCCAGACGCGCGGTGGGTGCACACAATCCCCGGGATGTCGTGCATCGATCCGCCGCTATTGTTGTGTTAGCAGCTCGTCCGTGTTTAGCATCGTTTTTCTGGTGTTGATGTCCGCTCCTCGCTCTCCTGCTGAGGCCAAGGACGGACGCTCCTGCAAGCTTGCACATATTTCACCCAGTCTCCCGTTTTTGTCCCTTAACGCAGCGAAACAACGACGTTAGCGTCATTTCTGCTTTAAAATCAGCTGAAGGGGAGAAATGTGAATTCACTAACCGCAGCCGCAGCATTTGAAACTGCATGGAATCACCTGAGATGTTTGGTTTCTTCGATTTTCTGTGCATGTGCAGAGAAATGTCATATTACATAAAAAAGTATTTAGAGTTATGTTGTTTCTGCGTGTGCATATTCACGTGCTTGCATGTTTTACATGCTTCAACGTGCACCTCTCTCACCTGTAGTAGTTTCTAATGTCAGCTTTTATTAGGACTCACAAACATGGTTGGTTTATATTTCACAGTTTTAGTTTTTAAGTGCATAAAATATTCAATGAATTGTCCTACTCATCAGAAATATTTTATTTCGTCAGATTTATATTCTTATCCTACCACCATTTGTTTTATTTCTTTATTTTTTAAGATAAAATAATGCTTTATTAGTCCCACAATGGGGACATTTCTAATATTACATCAGCAAGAGTCCAAAATATGCATCAGTAAGTAATAAGTACAAGTGTAAACAATGTTAAATCTATAGAAAAATATAAAAACTAATATACCGTGGAAAAACAAGAAAATATGTACAGTGACTGGATTGCACAGAAAGTGTTAATGTCAATAATGGGTGCGAGTTAATCTAAGGACAGTGCACAAAAACATTAATCTCAAAATGAGAAGAGATGATTCATGCCAGATGTAACTATTAGCTAATTTCCATCTGGAATCCATCGGCAGATACACACTAAATCTAAAAAACACTAAAAAGTTGTATTTGCATACAACACAAACAGTTGTGAAGTCAAATCTACAAGTACACATCAACATACACCATCACATTCATTCAATTTAAGGAATATATATATTGTTGCTGTGCACATGGTGTTGTTGATTCTGATTGACTTCCAATAAAACCCAAATTGAATCAGCTGCATTGTTGTGGCGTATTCTCACTTTATTCTGGCGGACTACGACTGATCTCTGCCATTATTTCATCACTCGTTGTTTTGTTTATAAAGTCACACAAGAGCAGTGTCCCACTTTCACACTCAAACATTAACTAGACCCGTGGGAAGTGTGTGTGGGAGTGGGTTGATGGAGCGGGGTTTGTTTACATCAAGTGAGCAGAGCTAATAAGATTTTTTTTTAAAGGCTTTTTTCCCTCAAGTTAATTTAGGAGAATAGAGTTTTAGGAAGTTTCAGGAAAAACAGTAAAGTAGTTGAAGTTGTGCTGGAGAAACATCGTTATTTGATTTGAGCTGAGCTGGATTTGTACGACAAAGATAAGGGATTGTGTTTTCACCCCAACATTTAAAGTGCAAAAAACAGCAAACTCAAAGTTGTCCAATGTTGTATTCAACTGAACTTTATAGATCTTTCTGTCAAATGAATCTTTTCTTACTGTTAAAAAAAATATCTCAAGCTTATAAGAATAAGGATTTGAGTACACTAGTATATTGTTCAGAACAAAAACATATATGAACATGTAGGGCTCTTCAAATTAAGAGTGTCACAAAGTTAAAACAAATGACACCAGTGATGAATTACAATGCAAATGCCTTGAAGAGACTCTGGAGGAACAGATATTAACCCTAGTGAGGTATTACTGCTTTTTGGCCCTTACAGTATAAAGAGGCTCTTCGGGGTCTCTGTGGATTTTGAAAATCCCAGGAGCTCTGAGGAGAGTGGAAGTGAGCTTTGTCTGCTGCCAGTTCTCCAGAAAGATGCAGTCATTCAAACAGTGTTTGTCTGTCGGTGCATTGTTGCAATTATCAGAAAAGTCACTAATATAATTCATGCAATGCACAGAATAATGTCCAGCGTTCACGTTACTACTAATGATTCTTTTTTACCGAGTCTGTCAGCCATGTTGGAAATGTATCCATCCTGTCTGGTTGTTGTGGTTGTTATGTGGTAATACCTGAGCTTCACACTGTTTTTTGTGTCTGTTTTCAGGGTGAAGTGCTCTACAGAGTCCGCTGGAAGAATTACTGCTCTGATGATGACACTTGGGAGCCAGAGGCTCATTTAGAGGACTGTCGAGAAGTCCTGTTAGCTTATAAGAAGGCAATGGTAGAAGCTAAGGCCAAGAAAGAAGCAGAAGCCAAGAAGAGCCTGGTAAGTGACTGTCAGGAGTGTTTTTAAAAAACACTACTGACACTGTTCTAGGATTTTCCCTCAGTTTTAAGAGGGAGATTCCGAAATGTATTTTTTTCATTTGCCTGATTAGCTCGAACAATACTAAAGCTACAAAGTTGTGATCCAAGATGATTGTTCGATTATGGAATTTAGTCAGTGTCTCTTTGCAGAGCAATGAGATTGATAATTCATATTTTCCTTTGAAAATAGAAACTGCTGCCTACAAAGAGTGACGTGTTTGATGCAGACTCAGAGAGCGACAGCGACAAAGAACGCCCGGTTCAGATGCCCATGAAGAAGAAGAAAAAGAAAAAGATCCGGGAAGAAGATGACTTGTCCACAAAAGACAAAAAGAAGAAGAAAGACAAACGGAAGGATGACGTGAGGCCTCTACCTGCACCAGAGACAGACGAAGAAGAAGAGGCGGAGACGGCCCCTACTCCATCTTCACCTTCCAAGGAGAAAAAGGCGGATTCAAAAAAGCGCCTGCTGGACTCTGAAGAGGACGACGATGAGCTTGTTCCCTCCAAAAAACACAAGAAGGAAAAGGGGAAAGAGGGAGGAAAGCATAAGAAAGAGAAGGTAGAGGAGGGGAAGAAAAAGAAAGCGAAGAAGGATCGAAAGATTGAAACCTCGGACGAGGAGGCAGCTGCACCTCTGGATGATGACCTGAGTGATGGCCCATCAGAGTCCCAACTGGACGACACTAAGACGGCTGAAAAGCTACGTTCGGATGACAAGTCGAAACTGAAGAAGGGGAAGTGGGAAGTGAAGCTTCAGGGCATTAAAGACCTTGTCCATGACAAAAAGAGCAAAAAGCTAGACGGCGCTCAGAAAGAGAGCAGCCTCCAAAAACTCAAGGGCCTCACCTCAAAAAGCAAGGAGGACAATGCCCCCCACTCCGACT